TGGCTATTTTAGAGGTTAGAATGTATAGCTGAACTAGCATAAATATACTCATTTAGTAATGATGATGATTCCCGAAACTTACTATCAACGTAGGAGATAATTTGGCCAAAATTTGAAAAGAGAGTCATTCACTGAGGCTTTGGAGAGCAATGGTAGAAAAAAATATAGAAATGCACAGAGAGATAAGGTAATTATAAACTCCTCCTGGGGCTTTTCACTGGATGAGAGTGAGTAGGAGAAACCAAACCAAAGAGAAAGTTGAAGATTTATTGTAAATAAAAGAAAAACAAGCAAGTAGCCATTGACAAATACAAAATGAATAGAAATAGATAGTTCATGGCAGAAACTGTTCTGCCCCTTAACGTAATGCTCTCATTCTTTACCTTGCTCTTGTCAATCTTATGTAAAGGTCCAACTCAACCCTTCATCTTATCAAATGGCTGGGGGCCAGAAGGGTAAATGGTGAAAACACAAGGATTAAAATCAGTGCTAGGACCAAGTGCTTGCTAGGGTGGGAAGGGCAGGAATGAGGGTTTTGAAGTGAGGTAGGTCTGGGTTTGAATTCTTGTTCTGCAATATAGCAGTTCTATGATGTCGGGCAAGTGAAGTCCACTTATGTGAGCCTTCATTTTTTTCTTCTATAAAGTAATAAAAGAATACTTACCTGGATGAGTTGTTAAGAGGGTTAGTGATAATACACACAAACATGTCTTCCTTGTAATAACACTGAAGAGTAGGTGAAAAGGAACCATGGGTAATACCAGGGAGCCAATGTAGGGCTCAGATTATAGAGGAACTAGATATAATTCATCAGCTGTACTTGTCAGGATGCTTGGTCACAAGGGACAGAAGCCAAGTCTATTGTAGGTTCAACAGAAACTGATAGGAAACACACCGCTGTGAAAAATCAAAGCTCTTCTTAAATGCCCAATAGCATGTTGAGATTCAGTGGTAACTATGGGACCTGAACCCAGACTGTCCATCTGTAAAGCCCTCTCTCTTAACCTCCTATACCCAGCTGTCTTCACGTTAAAGAGAGTCCATTACCTTCAGCTAACTTATTACCCTCCAGCCTTTGGGGCATTATCTTATGTGTGAGGAGGTATTTTTGGAGGAGTAACCCTCTTGTCCCACAAGGAGTAGATTCAGCTTTGTCCCATCTACTAAATTTGATCTGAGTCCTTGTTTTCAGTTTCTGAAGAAACTTTTCTTCTCTGGTTGAAAAGACTTGCTCTTCTTTTCCCTCAGGAATACCTCCTGAGATTTTGATATTTGTAATCCTATTAAGTAGAACTCTTAAATGTAATTACTGGAAAACAACCTTAATAAAATCTGACTTAAGGCAAGTCCTGAAATACCAGCTCAGAGAGGAACCTAATTAGCTATTTTTCCCTACCCTCAATGCCACAAAGCACATTAAAGCTATAAATGGCCTTAGAGATTATTCAAGCTCTTAACCTCATTTTGTTAATATAGACCCTGTTAGAATCTGAAAAAAAAAACCTATGAATCCTCTCCCGAGAGACATTCATGTTCTGTCTCTCTTGTTCTGTTTCTTTCACACTTGTACATATACACACATGCAAGTACACAAACACACACACACACACACACACACCTTACCTATAATTTTGTTTGGTTTTTGGTGCATTGTCACCCTGAAGGCCATTCATGGGCCTCCAGATTAACCTTCCCTGTTCTAGGCTAATCTCTTTCTTGCAGGTGAAGAAGGTGACACCCACCAAAGTAAAATAAATGGCTTTCCCAGGCTTAAACAGATCAGTGGCTGGTATACTAATCAGGTAGGGCCAAGTTATGCCACAGTAATAACAACAATAATTTCAGTAGCTTAGAACAATGAAGTCCCCTTCTCCCCCGCACATTCACATGATTTCCACTGTGTTAGCTGGGGGCTCTCCCTCATGCCATTTTTACCTGAAAATAATGCAAATTGACAAATGCATTCTATGAAGTCAGCTGTGATCATGACAAGTCAGAGCTTCGCAAATGATGCTCTGATCTTAAAGCCTCTGCTTGAAAGTGACATCTCACTGCTGATCACATGTCATTGGCCAAAGTGAGTCACACAGCCCTGCAGAGACCCTTGGTGGGTAGTGCAAATGACTATAAGGCTAGAAAAGCCAGAGGAGGAACCAGGGCATTTTAATTTTTTATCCAAAGCTCTTTTACTATCCCAAGACTGCCATATCTTTCTCCAGTTCATCTGGATACCCTACCGGCTTGTCATCTCCTTGACAGGGCTATGTGTCTGATGCAAAGTTGAGCCTGAGTGGGTGACTTCTGTTCCTTTAGTTGTAAATGCTGGTTTTTCTGGCACAGTTCATTTAAGATGCTGTCACAACAAAGGAGGCTCACAAAACAGGATGGGTGTTATTGAGTTTACACAACACTCATTTTACAAACTAAAACTTTTTCTTTTTATGATCTGATTGCTCCTATGTGCCTTTTTGTTTCTAATGCTCATTTATTTTTCCTGGTCTGCCACAGTGTGGGACCTACAGTGCTGTGAATGCAAATACAGTACAGAGGAGTCTGTGGATTTTTCTTATGCAGTGATTGATGATGTTTGTGACTCTGTTTCTTTTTTTAAATCTCCACTTGTTCATTTCACAAATTACTGAATACTGGCATTGCTCTGAGGGTTGTAAGAATGAGGCAGTTAACAAAATTCACAAAATGTGGCATGATGTAGTTGCTCAAAACATGTAATGTGTTGTGGGTATGTGCGGGGGGGGGTGTTTACATTTTGAAATCAATATAGGAGAATGATTAAGGGCACACAGTCTGGAATCTGACAGACTAGGTTAACACCTTGATGGCCCCTCTTAGTATAAGTCCTAAAATTTCAGGCCATTATATTAAGTTCTCTGGGCCTTAGTTTTCTTATCTGTTAGTTAGGGATAATAACACTACAAAACTCCTGGGCTGCAGTGAGAATTAACTGAAATAACATGTGTAAAGGATTTACCACTGGACCTGGCTGGGAGAAAAGCCTTGGTATAGGTAGCTATTTTGTTATCAGAATGCTTACTAGACGATAGGAATGGCATTTGGCAGGAGGAAAGAATGGGCTTTGAACCTTAGCTCAAAGTGCAAATTTGGGGAAGTTGCTGCTCTGAGCTTTAGTGCTTCAGTAATATGAGAGAGTCTCCTTCATCTTGCAGGGTATTTGGGAGACCCCCCTAGGGATACAACCCTACACTATCTTACACAGTGCCTGGCATGTTGGATACAGTTAACAAATATGAGTTATTTTGGAAGCTGTGAGCCACATGATGATGAGCAAAGAAGAGTCCTGTCCCTTGCCCTCCGGAGTTTATAATCTCATTATGGGGATAAAACATATTCACATGTAACTATAGATAACCCAAAATGGTGAGTGCTATGAAAGAACTATAGCTAACAGGCTGTGGAAGTCTGAATCAGATGCATTTCTGTAAGAGTTTCTGAGCTGAGCTACAGTGGTGTCTTGGTTTATGAACTCAATTCTCTCCATGATTCTGGTCGCAGGTTGAACTGGACGAAAATCAAATCAAATTTCCCCATAAGGTCAATATTGAACCTAAACATTGAACTTCATTCAGTTCTTGTCTAACTCGGTTTGCAACCCACATAGTGGAAAGAATCAAGTTCACAAACCGATGTACCACTTATTGGCTTTGATGAGAACATAATGCTCTTTACTAAAAAGATATTTTGATTAACAAACACCACTTGTTTCCCTTTCTCTCTCTTTCCTTATCTTCTTTCTTCTTTCTTGTTTCCCTTCCTGATCCTCAAACCTGAGAATACTGATGTTACGGAGAATAGAAATCTATTGCCTTTCCTGCCAGTACAGTTTGCTGCTGCACTGTGATTTTTGGTTGCAATGTTTACAGCAGCTCACTTAAGATTTAATTTGCTATATAACTCTCTGAATTCTGAGGGCCTCATTTTTCATTTGCTGCCTGAGACTCAATGCTCTAGCCCCTGGAATCACTTCTGGAAAGACTTACTTAATATTCAGAATCGATGAACAAACAGGAGAAAAGTTTTACCAGAGGCAGGCTCCAAGTGAGATGGGGTTTAACTTTGGTTTTTAGTGATAGTCTCATATGCTTCTTTCTGCCTCCTGAGTCCGATTGCATTTCTCCATCAATTAGTAAATAAGATGCCTTGGAGGTGCCTGAACTTGGGCATTCTTTCCTAAAGACTTTACAGTCTAGGTCCTCTCTGGGTGCTGTTATTATTTCCTTTTAATCTTGGTGACTGAACTTGCTTGACATTAGAGGAAGCCTATTTTTTCCTTTTCACACCACTTTTGCTGGACATGCCATATGACATGAAACTTGTCTAGAGAGGTCTTAGGGCCAGCCTGACTTTTCCTTGTTCCCATTGTCTGAGGCTTCAGAACTTAAATTACTGTGTTCATCTACTCCCAAGTTCCCTGCCCTTTAGCCTCATGAGAGCCGTCTATACTTAATGGGGTAATTAGCTACCTTTTCCTTGCTTTTCATTCTGTAATGCTTCTACTGAGGTGTTAGTGGATTCATGGTCATACTGCACCTATGACAGTTTTACTATGGCTTGTCCCACCTCCAACATTGAGAACAATCATTTTATACAATCTGACTATACCTTCCCAACTGTACTTACTGGTGGCAGAAATAGGGCAATGAGTCTCTTATTTGAGATTTTGGATCTGAGACTGAGAAAGATTTGGGCCAGTCTCTGTGGGGATTGGAGCCACAAATGTGACAGCGATAGGAGTTGGATGCCAATTTTTTTCTAAGTGGAACCAATGTGCAGAGAGAGAAAAACAGAGCAGACATATACAAGAAGGAGAGTGGAGGGGTGGAGGGTCTGAAGAAAGTTGGAGCTCTGGTTCCCCATCTTCCTAAGGCCCAAGGGTGCGTGTCTTCTGGCAGAGTGGATTCTTCACTGGGTACTAGAAGATACTCTTACACCTTTCAGTTGATCTCCTGTTTGGCTTAGACCGGTATAGGTTGGTTTCTGTTTCAGGTAATCAAAGAGTGCTAACTGGCACAGTGCTCTTCTTTATTGAATTTCTGGGTTTATGCTTTTGATAACAAGTAACCAAGTGAGAAGTTAGGTTACTCCTCAGCACCCTTCCAACTATAAAGGAAAATGTTAACACTTCAAGGTTCTCAAAAGAGAATCAACAAATACATCCACCAGAATTTAAAGCAGGATCTTGAATAGATATTTGGGCACCATGCTTATAGCACCATTATCCACAACCGAAAGGTAGAAGCAAGCCAAGTGTCCATTAACAATTGAATGGAAACAGAATACAAGATACACGTACAATGGAATATTAGTCAATCTTATGACTAAAATTTTAATACATGCCACAACATGTATGAATGTTGAGAACATTATGCTAAATTAAATAATTCAATCACCAAAAGACAAAGATTATGTATTCATCTTGTGTGAGGTACATAGAGTAATCAAATTCATAGAATTACAAAGTAGAATGATAGTTATCAGCGAAAGGGTAATTATCAGAATGGAAGTTGTTCTTTATGGGTGCAGAGTTTTAGTTGTGAAATATGGAAAGAATTCTGGAGATTGGTGGTATAACAATGTGAATGCACTTAGCACTACTAAACTGTACACTTGAAAATGGATATAGTCGTAAAATTTATGTTATCTGTATTTTGTCACAATATTTAAAAAATCACATTCCCTGAATAGCATTTTTGATTTCTGTAATATGGACAGAGACAGCAGAATTAATCTGGATTTAAGTGAAAAGCCCACATTCTATTCCTGGCTTTGAATTCAAACAAGTGTGACATCCAAGATTGGTTGATGTCTCTAAACCTCATCTCACTCATATGCCCCTTGAATTCATTCATACAGGTACCTGCTTAGGTTCTAGGTCCTACTTCCGGGAACAGAGATGAATAAGAGGTGGCTTTCTGGGGAAGCTTGATCTAAGAAATCATCTCTGAGCGTCTCTGGGAAAACCTAGCCCCAAGGGACTCAGCAGGGGTGGTACTCCAGGCACAGCAGCAGTATGCCCCAAATTCCAAGCAAACAGGGGCCTAAGAATTGTAGTGTTGAAGCTGGGCAGCAGATAAGGACAGGTAAGGGGAAACTGATGGGAGGTGGGGCTGAATAGGGAATTTAAAACTGGGTAGTGGGTGGTGTGTGGGGTACTTTGGAGGTAGGCAGGTTTTCCTTCCCTGTGCTTGTTCTGCAGACCCTCAAGAGGCACATGTAATCTAGGGGATGATTCATGCCGAGTCTCCTTTTTGGGTATTTTCAGTACCCATTTGCTTATAAGAGTTGAAATCTCTGGCTATTAAAGTCCTAAGTGATTTTATCTGACCCAACATTCCCTAAATTTATGACCATGGAATTTGCTGATATATCCTTTAGTGCCAAGTCTATATTAGAAAAAAAAAAAACTTTGGGAAAATCTGTGTTAGGAGTGGAACCCTGCAATATAGGGCACGTTTAATCTTGGCTTCTTCTTTTAAAAGCTGAAAGACTTGTGCTGGGAGACAGTCTCACATTCTGTATTTTTAAGACTAGTCTCTTTCCTGCCTTCCTCTGCTAACATTCCTAAATAGGAAAGTGCCATGTAGGAGAAGGCCAGGATGTAAGGGGCATCTGAATTAGGCATCTGTGTATACATTCTGCCTCCAAAACAATTCCCGACTTCTTTTTTAGAAGCAGGACTCTGAGACAAGGACTTTAAGTGCAATAACTTATTTGGGAAGTGTTCCTAGGAAATACTCCTGGAGGAATGAGAAAGTGATCCAGGGAAGATAAGGCAGCCAGTATATAATGTGCATTCAAATAATTCAACATGCGAATGGGCAACTGAAGTTTATTCCCTCTGGGAAGCTCCAGGAGGCAGCGCGGAATATACACCTCAAGTCACTCCGGCACAGCGGCAAGAGACCCGGGACGTAGTACGCCAGCTCCTGACAGTGAGTGGGTAAGGGCCGCTGGTCTCAATTCCCCCAGCACATCAATTAACTGTCTTAAGGTTCCAGAATTTCCCAAAGACATCATTTCCAAGTATTAGCTGACTTAACTCTCACTTTTACCTTCCCTGTTTCAAGTCCCCACTTCTTTAGTTATCTGATTAATACTCCAAACCATACCTCAGTCCTCCTGAAGAAACAGAGTTCTCATGATCAAAGGCATGCTTTTGTTTGGGCCTGAAATCTCCTCCCAATTTGGCTTTAATTTTGTCTGGACAAAGGCTCTTTTTGCTTGTGTCACCTTGAATAATAGAAAATTAGAGGGGCCATGTTGGACTCTGTCCCTAAATCTGTGCTTTCACTTCTTTTCCACCCTCCAGACCCAGCCACATTGGCATCCAGCCTCAGAATTTATCCTCTCGTACTTAAGCAACATGCTCCATTTTTATCTATTTCATTTATTCCATCAACAAGAATACATCGAAATCTACTGTGTTTAAAAGGAGAGTGAGCGAGCTACAGTAACAGAAACTTGGGTAGATTAAAATTCAATAGTAATCATGTTTCGGTGGTAGAATTGTAGAATTATATTTTCTCTCTTTTGTCTGTATTTTTCATTTGGGGTTTGAATAAACTTGTGCTTTATTTCACAAGTTGAAAAGTTGCATATAATGTGTGCAACAAAACAATTAAGTGCTAAAATTTAGAACTTCACAGAAATTGCAGAGTCCTTGCCTACTTTCCTTATTCTCGTCTCCAAAAATGTTTGTCCCATTTCTAACCCGAAGGTCTCTTGGTGCTCATTTCCTTCCCTACATCTGCTACCATCCCCATTGTTTGTGGCCCATAAATTCTTTTATTTGATAAAATAAAATCTTCAGCTTGAGGGAAGTATTTTCCCCAAAGAACACTAGGCTTAAAATCTGAAGTTTGTGCTTCTAAAAGCAAAAATACTCTGTAAATGCAAATGATTACTGTTTCTATTTGTTTTATAGGTTGTTAAGAATGTAGAATCTGGCTAGAAAGTAGCTCATGGATTTTATAATGGAAAAAAAACACAGAATGCAGAGTCCACTCCATGTGAAGATCTCCCATTTCCTATGGGGGTTCAGATACCAGTGTGGTGCTCTTGCCGGGTCCAGTGTGCAGTGTGTAGGCCTTGACTCACCGGCCCTCAGCAGAGTCTCACCACAGAGTGCACTGGCAGAGCCAGGTTCTAGGCTGAGGTTCAGGAAAAGTCTGTTACAGTATCACTCCTGGCAAATACAAATTATAGTCTTTTTTTCACTGAGGCCCAGGTTTGCTTGGCATGGCCTGGTGTGTCTGGCAAGACTCAGTAATGGTGCTCTAGCTCCAGAGCTGCCTGCCTCTCACAAATAGGCTGGGTGTGGTCATTTTAACAGGCTCACATTTTAGAATATGATATTTTTCCATTGCTTTTCATTTATTTACTCTTTGGTGCTCTCTTCCAATTGCTCCTGTCATTTCTTCTTAATATGAATGTTGGAAGCTTTAACTGCAATTTTGCAGTACATGCTTTTATTCCATCAATATTTTTGCACCCCGTCTGATCACCTGTGATTATGAACCCTGCTATCATTTTGAATAAAGATCAAGCAATTTGCCTGTATAATTTTTTAAAGGTGAAGGTCCAGTGGAAGTGGATATAATTTGAGAGATGATTTATACAGATTTTGGGCAAAAGAGAGTGAGTTATTTAAATATTGAAATGAATGTACATAGGTTTGATTATGCCCATGGGAAAAATATTCTCAAAGTTTAAAAAATATGATTCCTCAAGAAGAAAGCCATTTATAGCTGGGTGTTGTGGTGCACCCCTGTAATCCCACCACTCTGGGAGACCGAGGCAGGAGGATTTCAATTTCAAGCACAGACTGTGGGCAACAATTTAGCAACAAAGTGAGTGAGACCCTGTCTCAAATATATGAAAAGCTAGGGATGTACCTTAGAGCAAAGGCCCTGGGTTCAATCCCCAGTCTTGCCCCAAATTTTTTAAAAAGCCATCTACGTTATTATTTCACTTCATTACTTCAAATTCTTTGAAGTTTTTTGTTGCTTTTAGGATGAAGTTCAAGTGCATCAGAGTTGCCTTATGAGATCTGGCATGATCTGGCTCCTGCCTCTTCTAAATCCCCAGCCCTCGTGTTCTAATTGCAACAAAATCAATTTCTTTCATTTCCTGTAGCGCACTAAACTCTTTCACCTGTGGGTCATCACATTGGAGTTTTTCTTCCTGAAACATTCCACCCATTCCTCTGCATTTGTGTGACTCCTACTCATTTGCCAGGCATTAGCTCATGAGTGGCTTTCTCTGGGGAGCCTTGCTTATCTTCTAGGTGAAGTTCTTCTCTTTTGTGTTCTGTCATTATGGCAGGTCATCATCTGTTTACTTTATCTCTTTCATTAATCTGTAAAATTGCTTGAGAGTAGGCGTCCTGTCTTTCTGTTACCATTTTCACCTTTTGTGCTTATCCTGGTTTGCACATAGTAAGTGCTCAACAAATATTTCTTAATTGAATGGGTACATTGGGAAAGTTTGTTGACAGAAGGAATCAAAATTTAAGTTATGAGTGCCCTACTTTCATTAACTTGAGTACCTGAATTAGCAGTCAGTTCAGGTCGAACAATATTGAACCAGCTACTTCTACCTACTCCACTTCACTCAATTGTTCCCTTAACTTTCTGTTTTACAGGTGAGGACAGTAGGGCTCAGTGAGGACAAACAACATGATTATGGCAACCTGTGGACAGAAAGAACTGCGCTTTAGAGATCTAACTACTCATGGCTCTTGGCCCTACAGCAGGGTGTTGTCTCTTCAAATATTTGACTATATCCAAATCTTGTTGGCACCTTCATGTACTAGACTCTTCTTCTGGGACAGAGGAACCCATGATTTGCCTTCATCAAAGGTAACACTGAGATAGAAATTGAAATGGTAGATTGGAGGGGAGTGAAGGGAGAAAGCTCTGGGTGAGGAATCCAGATACTAACTAGCTATTTTGACCTAAAGCAGATCACTTAGCATTTGGGGACCTTAGCTTTCTCATCTATACAATGAGTGAGAATGACTGGGTAATTTTTAAAGGTACCTCACCTTTAAATTTTGTAATCCTAAACTTGCAAGCTGGTATAAGGTATTAGGGCCACACAGTGATTATGTGTGGGATACTATTAAGCCTACCTGAGACATCTCATTTCTCAGAGGCCACACTGAAATCTGCAGGTAAAAAGGAAGAGAAAAAACACAATTTCATATCATTCAGTTGTGTACTTTTTTGTTTGTATACAGGTAACAAAATAGTAACTATGAGTCAGGGGAGAATAGAATGAAAAGAATACCTCAAGGAGAATATTCCAGCTTCTCATCTGCTGTCAGTATTGGCTCCTGAATAAGCTCAAGGGAAATTTCTGTCTGTTCTGCACACCCTCCCACAGTCACAGAACATTCTAACGGACACTTATTTTATGAAAATTGTTTGTTGCTCTGCATCTCTTATAATTACCTTATGTATTTAAGCAATTAGCAATCAGAACTCACATCTTATTGGTACCCAAGCAAATGTGAAATGTAAAAATGCAAATTGTAGAGAATGAAAATAGATTTTAGGTTGTTTGCACATATGTTGATTTCCATGAACAATTAAAACTTGCCATATTTGTAATGATTTTTAAAGGTGCCAAAGTAAATAGAATAATTATATTATCTATGTGTGAATTTAGTAAAAAGAGCAAGAAAATTGTCATTCTGAATTTGAAAAGAGAAGCTAATTTTGTCTTTAATGTAGCTGAAAACAAGGGACACTATGGAGTGAATTTAAATACACATTTAACTGTAAAAATCTTAACATTCTCATAGGTCATATGGCCATCTTAAAATGCCCTTTACAAATTGAAGTTGTGGAAAAGGAAGTGGAAAGAGATTAAAATTAACAAGAGACTTGAACTTGAGGGTTAGTCTGAGATTAAAACAGTAGCCATGGACCAAGCAGTGGAAAGTGAAATAGAACATGAGAATTTTCCCCATTTTCTTTTGAGACTACAGTATATCAAAAGTCAGGAAATACACTTTTTTTGTGACCAGCTGTGAATGTCAATTTAGACAAGTCACATTAGCTCTCTGGTGAAATTACTATTTTATAGAGCTACACCTCAGTAACTTTAGGAAGACAGTGGAAATATCCAAACAGTACTGACACCACAGATTGCAGCCTTATGGAAAGTTAAATAGATTCTGAAAGTAGATGTCCATTTTTCATGGGAAAAGAATTATGCTTTTGTTTTTCTTTCCAACCAACTTCTTGTATTAACATGGGATCTCGGCTACCAAAATGGCCCGATTATTGGTTCTATGGTATGAACACATAAAAACTAATCCCTATAGATCATAGATGTAAAAATTCCTGAAGATCTTAACCTGTGTAAAAATTGCCATATATATTTCTTTAATAGATTTAGAGTCAAAAACTGTATTTCTAGCAGGGCTTTTGAAGTATTGGGACATTTCATGGAAAATGGCTCTCTTTTCCCTTTTAAGAACAGTGCACATTTTTTAGAAGTTAATTAAGAACAGCATTATTTCCTTTTTGACAACGAATCAATAATATCACTCCAGAGTGTTAAGCACCTTTCTCCAAAGAATATATTCAAGTGAGAAATCCAATTTTTCTTGTACATAAAATTGCTAATACAATTTGTCTCTGTGACAATGTAAAATGAGTTATCAAGTGTGGAGCATAGAGTGTGTTTATTTCATCTGTTGAAATTCAGAAGGAAGCAAGGAACGAGGGAAGCTTCAATGTTAAGTTGCGGAGAGAAGCTTCAGTTGAGTTTCAAAACAGCAACGATGATGATAATGTAGACTAAGGGAGCAGGGCCCATTTTGACGCTGAATTTTGCTGTGGTCTGAATGTTTACATCTGCCACAGATCTTGTGTTGAAATCCTCATCCCCAAGGTGGTGGTGTTCAGAGATGAGGCCTTTGAGAGGTGATTAAGTCATAAGGGGGGTCCTTGTGAATGGGATTAGTGACCTTTCAAAGAAGCCCCAACAGCTGCCTTGTTCCTTTCACTACAACAGGACAAACAAAGAGGGTGCCATCTGTGAATCAGGAAGTGGGGCCTTACCAGACACTAAATCTGCCAGTGCACTGATCCTGGACTTCCCAGCCTTCAGAACCATGAGAGATACATTTCTGTTGTTTCTATGACATTTTGTTATAACGGCCCAAACAGAATAAACAGGCTTGGAGCAGACATTCAAGAGAGAACTCTGTGAACTCCAGAGTGCACTACAAAAGTCAGCTGAAGCATGATGAGCAGGAAAAAAAATATGATGAGCAACAAGGAAAGAATTTAATTAGTGCAAAAGAAAATGGTACAGAGCCAGGTGGCTCAGTGGCAAGAATGGGGAGGAGAATGTGGGAATTGTGAACAGGATGAAAGTGGCAGTCAGAGATTGCAGAGGCTCTCAACATGAGGTCAGAATAGAGGGACCCAGTGAACCCCAGGGTGATGATTATTAGTAGGTCCACCTGACTTGCTCTTAAACATCCATTTTTGAAAAATTATGTGAAAACCTAATTGTCAAAAACTAGAGGCATGTTTAGTAGCTAGTTCTTTAAAATAAATTTATAGCTTGGCATGGTGGTGCACACCTGTAATCCTAACACTTTGGGAGAAGGACTGTAAATTGGAGCCCACCCTGTGCAACTTAACAACTTAGTGAGATGCTGCCTGCCCCCCCAAAAAAGAAATAATGAATGAATGAAGAAAAAGGGGGCTAAGGATGTAGTTCAGTGTGAAAGTCCTGGGTTCAATCCCAAGTACCACTAAAAATAAATATACAAATTAGTTAATTAACAAATTAATATATGGAAAGGAAAAAGGTACTTTCATAACACAAATACTAATTCTCTGAAATATTTCTTTTAAAATTCAAGACTCTGGCAAGGCATGGTGGTGCATGCCTGTAATCCCAGCATTCAAGAGGCTGAGGTAGGAGGTAGGAGGATCACTGCAAGTTTGAGGCCAGCTTCAGTTAGGTTGTGGGTTCAAGGGCAGAGTGAACTACAGAGTGAGATCCTGTCTCAAAAATTAAATCAATAAATAAACTAAAATTCAAGATTCTTGTTTATGTTGAATTTTCTCCAATCAATGGACAACTGAATCAGGCAGTTGAGAGAGAAATACACATCTTGCCATTTTGTAGTTCAACTCCTCAAATTCTGGAAGAGAAGAAAATGAAGATTATGAGGTTTTCTTAAAGTTAAGTAGTGAGGCACTGAGAGTTAACTAAAGGCTGAGTGATTTGTTCCTGGCCCACAGCTGGCTGTCTGGAAAGTCAGAGGTAGAACCATGTGGTCCTTCCTTCCACAGGAGACCCATTCTTCCTGCGTCTCCTTAGAGGACACAGTGCACTGTGTGAAGAGCGGGAACACAGCCACAGTGCCACCTTTCTCTGGAGCCCTCTCCAGCTCCAAAGCCCTGTGTTTCTGCATCACTACTTCAACTCCTGTTTTTGTTTTTTTTGGTACCGGGGATTGAACTCAGGACCTTGTGCTTGCGAAGCAGGCAGTGGAACCACTGAGTTAAATCCCCGGCCCCTCAACTCTTGTTTTTTAAGATTGTTGCCTGAAAGGATTCACTGTAAGATCAGGAGGCAGCCAGAATAGAAATAACTGTTATTGGCTCCCAAATGGCGAGGGACTACAGTAATATATCTTATAGAAGGAGATAGATAATGTTAAAAGAAGAAATTTATCTCCCAAAAAGTAATAAAGCTTTAAAACGGAGTAGGAAATAAAAACAACAGCAGCCCAGTTTCTCTTCAGTTCTTTCAGAATCTATCAAATATGGCACCTTAAATTGGTCCTAGCTTCACGGATACTACAAGCATGATGTGTTTGAAGTTGCCATCCATCTCCAAGAACATGTCATTTTGTTCCAGCTTTCTCTACCCTGCAAGCCATTTAACTTAGATTTTTGCCACTTCTTCTCAGAGATTCCGCGTGTGTCTCTAGTCCCCCAGAAATGAGCCTTATATTTATAACTGCAAAAAAATGCTTTATGTGAAAGTAGAGAGGGAAAGAGATTAAATGCAATTCTCAAGGATCATTTTTTTATTCTCTCCAAGTACTGTATAATACTGATCCATACAAAATGGCTCTTCTTCTCCTCATAGGGCATACAAATTTCTTGCTAAAAATACCTTACATCATATGCATTCATATCAAGTCTTTCATGTAGCAAGAATTTTAGTTGGGTCACCAAAAGAAAAATAGGAATGACTAAAAGAGATCCTAAATAAAAACTACTTTAAATAGAAACCACACTGTCTGATGACATCCTCTAAATTTTAGATTGCTTGTAAGCTATCAAATAAAACATTTAAATAACCATCTTGTGCTTCCATGTAGACAAAGCCACAGAATCAAAGAATGTTAGAGGTGAAAGAAATCTTACAATTTCTGGGGAAGTTTTCTTATTTTTTGCATGAGGAAATGAAGCCTCATATATTCAGATTAGGAGGGCTGGTCAAGTGCCAGTCTATAAAGAGCACTAAGACATTGCTAGAATCAATAGGAAATCAGTGCCAGATAACTCAGCTTTCGATAGCCAGATCCTTATTACTTTGTGTACAATCAGCTAAAAATTGATTGTCTGCTAAAATATCTGGAAATAAAAAATACATGATGTGGTATGTTAACCAAGAGTAAGTAATTTAGGGCTGTGGCTGTAGCCACTGCAAACACATAAAAAAGGGAGTATTTTACTATCTGAATTTTAATTTCTTTAGTTTGCTTCCAATCACACTGATTTTTAAAGCACACATTGACTTTTAAATTCACAAAAGAGGACAAGAAGTACAGAAGAATGAGTGACATTTCTCTTAGATTTCTGTCTGAAAAGAACACTGATCCAACTTTGGCTGATAGAAAATATATTGGTAATAAAATTTCTTTCTGAAAGCAAATATTTTAAAATTCATATTCTATTTCTACAAAATGGCAAAGTGAACAAAATGGCTGGCAGAATGCCAAATCATTAATATGCCTCAGATACTCACACATCTTAGCTGGGCCTTAAGACCACAGGGAGGGGCTGACTACCAAGATCATGGGGCCTTTGCTGTGGTCATCCCGATAAATAGAATTCAACCAACAATGATGCTGTGCCTGTGCAAGAACATGGAACTATACCCATAAAACAGTGGCACGGTCCCTTTCCCGGGATCTTGTGTCCTAGTTGTGAAAAAGACTCGCAAACATTAACAGTACTGTAGACGAATACCTTCCTGGGATGGCTGAGGTCCCTGGAGAAGTAGAGGATGGTCGGCCTGTGCTTGCTAATGGACACCAAAAGGCTTCAAAGAGGAGGTGAGCTATGAGCTGATAACTGAAGGGTGAATGGGGGTTTGCCAGGGGGAATGGACGGGGAGGGAGAACAAGAAGTCCTGGTGGAACATCAGCATATGCACTGGCCTATGAGACTTCCTGGTGAAAAGGTTCAACCACAACATTAATATTACTCTTAAAAAGCATCTGCAAAAGAATTAAAATGTGTTATGTTCTTGTACCAACTGTCCACAATGAATATAATCATTATGTACTGCAACATATACTAGTAAAAATTCTTAAAAGAATA